TTTGCTCTCAAAATGGTGTTTTCTCTCTAACTTTGGTGTGTGGGCTCTCTATTTATAGGAGAAATCTACTCCTAATTATGTCACCAATGACCTCATGAAAATACCAAAGTTTCAAACTTTGCAACTATGTAGTTATCTTGATAAGAATTAGTTGGTATGTAGTTGTACCAACTTAAGACTTTAACAAAAATGGGGGCTGGAACCCCACACAACATCCCTCTATATATGAGCTTCAAGGATCCTTTCATTTGTTGCTTGTACATACCATTTGAAACATTGTGGAATGGAGAAGGCAATAAAGAAGGGAAGAACCCAAATGATTATTACAAGTTGGAGTTTTCTCACATGTACCAGACGGAGAAAGAAGTATGCTAGGGAATTCGCCTGGAGTATGAAAAGGAAGCAATGACTGATATTGGTCATCCAAAAAAAAAGGAGGCAATGAGTGATGCAAAAGTCTGTTTATGACTTGTTTTGCATCACAAATTTCAAATGTTTTTCTTTCTTTCTTAAATTTTGTATTCAGCCAAACACGTATTACAAGATTGTATGGAAAGAATGTGTTCTACATTGTTGGTACAATTTGTATATGAGGGGTTTGCATCGATGATACATGGATGAAATTTTTATGTATAATGTTGGTTTTTGAGTTTGAAACAACTTTTTTACCCTTATGAGGTAGGTACGTTGAGTATCCACCATCCTTTCAAGATTTCACTAGATATGTTGTTGTTTGAGTCATTTTTTATGTGATTGTTATAACCTATGCATGAGCATATATCTAACTCACAAAATTAAAAACTATATCATACCCATTTTCTCTTTTTTTGGGCTTAAAAAGTATTTTGCCTTTAGCACTTAACAATAAGCTGTTAGAGTGTGGTTCTCTTCTTTTCTGCTTATATCTTTGATGAGGTTAGTCTTTCTTTTCTGCTTTTTGTGTGTTTTTTTCTAAATTGTAGCGAAATTTTTGTTCATTTTTTCAGGCAGGGCAACGAATTTATATCAATTTACAGAAAGGTATCAATTCGGTGCTCATTTGTTTAATTTATCAGTGCAATACTGTAAAAGGGTACATTTTTATGTCATAAATTAGGAAGATGATAAGTAATTTCCTATATAGGTCTAGAATAATGAAAAAAAAGGTAAAGTCTTTAAAATAAAATATTTTAAAAGTAGTACAAATGAATTGGGAAGATGATAACAAGTTTTTTCTTCCCTTTTTTGGTCTAAGGCCCAAGTTGTGTTTTTTTATACTCTTTAATTTCTCACAATCATGGATTAGGAAGATGACAAGAAGTTCCCTAGGAATAGTGAAGTAGGTGAAGCCTTATTCTTTAATATTAAGCTTTGTCTTTTCTTTCTTGTTGACCTGGTTGTTTCAATTTTATAACAGATAAGGAAGATGAATGGAAGTTTCCCCCATACACCAAAATTATGGCTGAGAAATAAATTTGCCAGTTGGGCTGAGAACTTGCCTGTTAGTCTTTAGCAATATTCTTCAACAATGTCTCATGCTTCTTCTTCCAAAATTTGCAAGTACGATGTCTTTTTGAGTTTTAGAGGTGAAGATACACGTAGAAACTTTGTGAGTCATCTCTATAATTCTTTGGAACTAAGAGGAATCCGCACTTTTAAAGATGATGAGCGACTAGAAACGGGAAAATCAATTTCTGATGATCTTTTGAAAGCCATACAAGAGTCTAAATTTTCTATAGTGATATTTTCCAAAAGCTATGCATCGTCAAGATGGTGCTTAAAGGAGCTTGCACACATCATAAAGTGTAAAAAGGAATTGGAGCAGATTGTGATTCCAGTCTTCTATGATGTGAGTCCATCAGATGTGCGCCATCAAAATCCCCCTTTCGATGATTCATTTTCCCAACACAAAGATGATATGGAGAAGGTTCAAAGATGGAGGGGTGCATTTGTGGAGGCAGGGAAAATATCAGGCTATCATTTACTTAATTTCAAGTAAGCTTTCTTCTTTTTTTCCGGTTTCTCTTTATCAAGAGCGAAAAGGACCAAACTTTTAGCTACAATTCCACACAATCATCAGCTATACTTTTACCGAAAAAGGAAAACAGAGACATATATGATTGTTTGATGATGTAATTAGATTTTAAAATGTTATAATTCATAATTGACATTATTATGTGTTTGTTTTAGATATTAGTCTATGACAAGTCTTTGTTTTTCTATTTATTTACTCTGAGATTATTTTCCACTGTAATGTAGGGATGAGGCTGAGTGCATCAAGAAACTAGTTGATGACATATTTCCTAAGTCACTTCAAAGTATTTCACCTTTCCCGGAAAGCTTAGTGGGTATGAAATCTCAGGTTGAGAAAGTAACCTCATTATTAGATATGGAATCAAATGATGTTCGCTCTATTGGTATTTGGGGTATGGGCGGCATCGGCAAAACAGAAATTGCAAATGTTCTACATCAAACATACCGCCATCAATTTGAAGCTGATTGTTTTCTTGGTAATGTTGGAAAACTTCACCAGAAAAATGGACTAACATGGCTTCAACAAGTCGTCATTTGCAAGCTCTCGGGAAAAAATATGACTCTAACTAGTGAGCATGAAGGGATGAATATTTTAAAGAATATGCTTCGCTGGAAGAAAGTTCTGTTCATCATCGATGACGTAAACCATCAAGAACAGTTGGAATTTTTGGTTGGAGAGCCAGAGTGGTTTGGTAGGGGTAGCAGAATTATTTTAACAGCAAGAGACAAGCACCTGTTAATCAGTCACGTCGGGGATAATGTGTATGAAGTCCAACTATTATCTGAGAATGAAGCACTTGAATTGTTCAGTAGGCATGCTTTTAGAGAAAAATCCCCAAAAGAAGATTTTTTGGAACTTTCAAGACAAGTGGTGAAGTATGCTGGTGGACTCCCTTTAGCCCTTAAAGTTTTGGGTTCTTCATTTTACCGACGAGATAAAAAGCACTGGAGACACATAATTGATCGGCTGAAGAGAATCCCT